CACAAAGCCTCGCTTTCAGAGCTGCCTCACCCTCTCACCAACGCGCTTCAGGAACTCTTCCGCTTCCTCCACTGCCGCCATCTCCCGCTGGTACTGGTTTTCTGTCTTCTTCCTGGCTTCTAGGTCGCATTCGGCCGTCAGTGCCACCATCTTCCGGTCGTATTCCTCCCGTATCTCCTTCTCCAGCAACAGGAACTGCTTTTTGAAGGCAGCGCCCATCCTCCGCTCTGCCTCGGGGGAGAGGTGGCCACAGCTGGTCAGATTCCTCAGCAGAAGGGCAATGACGTCTTTGCTGATCTGGGTCCGACAGGCCTCCAGGTCTGAGTCTGCACGGCTCAGGGTCGCCACCTCCAGCCTGGGAGACACAGAGGTCAAGAGGATCCATTACATAAACCACAGGTCTCTCAAAGCTCTCAGGCTTTAAATTATCCTTTTCTTTTTCTTTCCCCTTTTCTCTCATTCTCTTCCTTTCCTCCAGCCAGTTTTTGATGGCCAGCAACTAACTTCACAGATTCTTATTTACTAAATTCACAGGGGACCATGCTGGCTACTGTAAGGGATATAACTAATAGAAGACACAGTCTTTGTCAACAATAGGTCAACAACGAGGAAAGCAAAGGAAAAGTGAATAGTTAATATATTTGGAGAATTTTTAAATAAAATGTATTTTACTTTTTTTCTTATTAAAAATGTATGAACATGACAACTAAACACAATGTGCTAGGACAGAAAAAGGACATTAGATAAAAAGTAGGGAAATGCGAATCAAGCGTGGGCTTCTAGTAACTATCAATATTGATTCATGAATCGTAACAAATTTCCAAAGTAATGTAAAGTTAGTAGTGATAGGGGAAATCGGGTACAGGGCATGTGGGAACTCTCTGTATCATCTTAGCCATTTTCTGTAAATGTAAAACTGCTCAAAAAAATAAGGTCTACTCAAGAAGATCTTTCACAGGATCCCAGGTTCAAAACATGATTGGGATGGTACTGTATGTTGGCAGTGACATACCAGACTATCCTCGGAAGTGGGTGAGTTTTATGGTATGTTAACCACACCTCTTATAAAGCTGTGAAAAAGGTGCACAGGAAAAAGTAACTTGTGTTCATTATAGAAAATATGGAAAACAACGATAAATAGAAAAACACCCCATTCATTGTAGGTCTGACATTCCTGCGGAACCAACAAAGGCATTTTGTTCTATTTGCTCCCAGTTTTTTCCTCTATGTGCTCTTTTTTCATAGATGTCCACCATTTACACAGACACAAGTGCAATTCTGTCCTTTTGTTTCTCAATGAACATTGTCACAGGCATCTTCCAGTGGTGTTTAAAAATCATGACAGTTTCCTGTATAATGGCTGCAAAATACTTCATGATGACATATGCCATGATTCAATTAACCATTGTCCTAGTGCTGCGCATTTAGGTTACTTGCAAAATTCGAAATCTAAAATAACCCTGAAGCAAACATCTTTGCAAAGAGTTTTTGAAATTCGCAATGATTTCCTCAGTAGGATTCACACAGGGTCACCACAGGAAATGTTAGCGACACTTTGAGGCCTCCTAGAATGTCCTACCACACCACTTTCCAGAAAAGTTCCCCCACAAATGCAGTAGGATCCTTATTTCACCCCTCCCTCTACAATTTTCAAACTATTTTATGAGAAAATGCCATCAGTTTGTAAAAATGTAAGTCTTAAGCAAACTATTACGGAAATTTTCAAGCATTTAAAAGTAGAGAGAATAGTATGACTCATGTGACCATGACTCAACTTCAAAAACTGTCAACATTTACCACGCTTGTTTCAGTTACTCCCTTCAACTTTCGCCTGGGCATCGTAAAGCAAATCCCAGATTTTTCATTTTAGCTGTAAATTCCCTAGTGAGCCTCTCTAACTGTCAAGGACGTATACAGACACATGCATGAGCATGTGTATATCTATATGCGTAGACATGTATTTACCTAGTCTTGATGCCACCATCACATTAAGTATCATATTACCATATCACATTTAAAATATGAACAGTATTTCCGATAATGAATACCAGTCATTATTCAAACTATCTCAAAGGGTCCCAAATCATTTTTACCATTGAAGGTTTAATTCAAGATTTAAACAAAATCCCACAATGTTGGCTAGTGCATGTTCTTCTGTAACATTCCACCCTCCCCATTGTTCTTTTCTGTCATTGATTTGTTGGGAAAACCAGGTTACTCATCCTGCAGTGTCCCACATTCTGGATTGGGCTGCTTGCTTCCACGTGGTCTCACTGTTCCTCCATCCCATGTATTTCCTGTAAACTACTAGTTAGGTCTTAGGACTTGATTAGCGGCAGACTGAACCAGTTCTCCGAACTACCCCGAATGCGGTGCCATGCGCTTCCTACCGGATCACTCTATAGGTGTGGTATCACAGGCGCAGGATGCTGAGGGGGCAGTAGGTTCTGTTGGTCAAGGTGACCCCTGCTCTATACAACTTCCTGTCGACTTTTCACCCGATGGCTTCAGCATCATGTGTAACTGGGTTGAAAGATGTACCTTTCCTACTTCTATCACTTCTGCATTTTTAAAGCTGGGATTCTTTTTTTTTTTTTTTTGAGAGGGCATCTCTCATATTTATTGATCAAATGGTTGTTAACAACAATAAAATTCAGTATAGGGGGGTCAACGCTCAATGCACAATCATTAATCCATCTCAAGCCTAATTCTCGTCAGTCTCCAATCTTCTGAAGCCTAACGAACAAGTTCTTACATGGTGAACGAATTTAAAGCTGAGATTCTTCAAAAAGAAGAACTGTCTGTCCGCAATGATCCAGTTACTCTGACACAAAGTTCACAGACAAAACAGATGTTTCGTTCCTTGCAAATTAAAGAGTTTGTGTCACCGCACCTTCCAATGGTGACAAATGAGTTTAGATCTGTTTGTTTAGTTGCTGGTATTTACTGTTTCCTTTTGTTTTAGTATGAGGGCAAAAGGTTAATAGAACCCTTCCCAAGATTCCTGAGAACCTAAGCTTTGGCTCACTTCTGCCAGGGGACCTCGTAAGAGAAGAAACATCACATACGCTACCAGGCAACATGGCCGGTTACACCCAGGCAGCAGGACTGTCAATGAACCATAACTTCTAACGGGGAAGCCAAACTTCGAACTTCCTGGGGTGGCTCTCAGAACTGGACATGTCCCTTGTCACACAGGATACAGGCCCCTGTGGGGTGCGATGCTCTTAGGCCAGGAAGGCTCCCACACCTGCCTGAGGTGTGAGGATCACATCTCCCTGCACCTGGGCTGTGTCTCCGGGGGAGAAAATACCCGCCAGAGAGCATGTGGGCTGCAGTGCGACCTGCAGCAAGGTCACCCACTGAACACCTGACGTCCTCAGCAAGCCGAATGTTTCTGCCCTCTAGCCTTTTGTACATGTGGGCTCCAGAGAGGCCGACGGGAGTCTTGTGAGGCCTAGGAAGACCCCCTCCCTATGCACATCACCCTGAAATCACAGATTTCAATTTATATTTGGTGGGCTGCAGTCACATGTAGTCATTATCCATTTAGATGCTCAAATTTTACCATCTTAGACCAAAATGGCTCCTGTGTCCTTTAAACACAGCCCATTGAGTCTAGTTTTAAATAACTCATTCATTTTGTCCCTCCATTTTCTCTGGAAACACATAAGCAGAGAGCCTCTCGGCACAGCGGACAGGTTAAACATCTGGTGAAACAAGTGATATTCCACAGTCAGGAAAAGAAAGTACTTCTCCGCTAAGACAAAGTAATTTCACACCTTCAATGAAGCTCTTTGTGGTAGGGAAGACAATGCCCCACCCGCCAAATGTCCAAATCCTAGTTAATCCCCAGAACTTGTGAACATGTATGTTACACAGCAAAGGAGAAATAAGGTGGAATTAAGGTTGCTGATCAGCTGACCTTATGGCAGAGACATTAGTATCAAGGATCATTGAAAGTGGAGAAGGGAACAGAAGAGGGACGGGAATCAAGGGGTTGGCATTACAGCATCACTGGCTTTGGGGATGGAGGAGGGGCCCTGAGCCAGGGAAGGCAAGGGGCCTCTAGAAGCTGCACAAGGAAGGAAGTGGGTCCCCCCCTAGTGCTGGCATCTTGATTTTTCCTAAAGTCCCACTTTGGACCCTGACCTCCAGAACTATAATATATTTACAGTGATTTGTTACAGCTGAATATGAAGCTCATACACCCTACCTACCCACTCCATCCATCACTGATTCATTCACTCATTCATTAACTTATCAGAAACTGCTGCAGCCATTGGTTGGGTAAACTGCAAGCGCTTTACCACATACACAGGGATTAAAATGCACAAGAGGACATCTCTGTAGATCTTTGCTGCCAAACTACATACTAGCTAAGGGGCCTGGGGGAAGGATTTTGTTTCTGTGGATAAAGTGAAGGTTCCTGTGGCCAGGATTCTCATCTGGCCCTGGTCAGCTAGCTCACTACACACGTGTGGGCAATGCGTTGTTATTCACTCTATACATAAAAAGCTCCGCCCAGTGCTCTGAGAGACACTGTGGCATGGCTGCTGGCACCGCCACAGGAGAGCAGAGGCGGGAGTGGTGGCAGCGTCGAGGACAGAGACTGAGACGGCTGCAGGGGTGGAGGGGCCCAGAGGCAGAGACCGGCTTGCTGCGTGCAGACTCGCTCTGAGTGGACAGGATTCTAGTGACTGACCTGCCACCGTGGAAATAAAGTTGGGTATAAACTCTTTCACCCCAAGAATGTTCTACTGTCATTTCTTAGGTCTCATTGAATCCTTAGTGAACTTGCCGGGGGCTGAAGCCCATTGGCACGACAGTTTCTGAGCAGCATAATGGGAACTGCCCTCAGAGGTTCAAAGAAGTAAGTGATATAAAATGCATGGCATAGAGCCTGGCATTTTGTTGGTTCTAAATAATTACAGTTTCCTTATTCTTTGCTATTCTCTCTCCTAGGAGACAGGCTGCAGAACAGAGCCAGTGCCCACGGCTCACCCTTTCCAATTACCTGGAAGACAACTTCATAGGCACTTTGTGTTTTAACAGTTTTAGTGTTAATCACCATGGATAAACTGTCAGAAGGGGCAACAATAAAAACGGCTAGGGTATTCCAAAGCCACAAAGAAAGAAAAATGTCCCTTGAAGCCAATTAAAATACCATGCAATTAATGAAGCTAACTCTCATCTATTAATTTCCCAAATGGCCACAGGAGAGGAAAATAAATATTAAGAATTCATTGTCTACATACAGGCTTGGGTCTGCTAAAGAAGTCAATGCCTACCACCCACCATGGCATTTGAAATCATTCAGACAACAATGAAGTACATAGATTTCCCCACCCCCCA